AAGGCTAATCATGTTTTGGGTGTACTATTCCTTTAAGCATATAAATGTGTGTCTCCTTTTGCATGAATTACTGCACCAATGCAGCACGGTATGGAACGGCTAGTCTTGAAAACGGGTTGCTTTGACAGCAGCCTTAAACTTGCTTGGTTTGTTGGCTTTGGTTGCTTAGAATTCAATTCAATTCAAAATGGATGAAAGATTTCCTGTAGGGGTCTGTGTTGCACCGGTTCTGGAGAATCCTCTGACTGAAGAAACTCCATTGTTGATTAACAGTGTAAAAAGGATGATGCTGTCCATAATGCTCTTTATTTTATCCACTGGATACATTTTTTAGGGACGTAAACAGATATAAAAAGAAATTAATAGAAAAAAGGTAATTTTATTAGTAGCTTTCTGGAAGTTTGCTTGTTTTGTACGGCTAAATCAGATGTTATCTAGATTTTACAGTCTGTAAAATACTTTCGCTGATTGGCTTTTCCAATGTAGTGAAATTTCACCTTTCTTTGCCCTGTTCTTCAGGAGTAAACTTTATGCCTTGTCATGTGTGAGTCAGATAGGGGGCCTAGTGGTTGACAATATGCCTTGTCAGCACTGAAGTGGTATTGTTTGATGTTTTCCTTCAGAGCTGGTCACTTTTAGGTCTCTGCAAAGGAAATAATGGTTCCAAGGCAAGCTAGCTTACATAAACATTGTGATACAAGAAGATCCTTAGTGTCTTATTTTCTTTCAACATACGTGATTCATGAGCCGTGGAATGGCGTGGCAGGAATGCGGAGATGGCTCAGTACCGTGCTGCTCGTCTCTCCAGCTCCACTGAGTAAATAACTGCAGGGTGGCAGGCCAAGCTACTGAATGAATTAAAGCTCCAAACGATGAATGAATCGGGGAATGAATGAACAAATGGAGCAGCTAGAGCTCCACGTACAACCAAATGCATCTCTTGCGTCTCAGAGCCATGTGATTTATTTTTACCAGAAAAAAAAACAAGAAAGTAACCACAAGAATAAGGGTAAACGGAAAAGCAAAAAGATTTCCTCTGATCTGGGATGTGTTTGACAGAAAAGGTTAAGTTCGGTGTTTCAGGGGTTATATGAGATTTATTGTGAAGAGGAAGGATGTAGAAATGACTTGGAGCATTTTCCTGAAAATGCAAAATAAAGACAAAGTACCAGTAAATCTGTATTCTCTTGAACCTTTCTGTAAGTGAAGGAAGCATAAAACAATTGTTAGCTGGTAGAGTTTCACTTGTTGGTTAATCCCACTATTAATATGGGATCCAAGTATTGCTCTGTTTTTTTTAATAAAAATTTAACTTTGAATGAATGGACGTAACTTAACCCTCATATCTGCAAACATACGGCAACAAAACAGCCAATTTCATTTAAACCTTAACTTAATACTCAAAAACACTAACCCTAACCCATACAATGGAATCATGCTGTAACAATATGGTGGTATACATTTTTTTATGAAATATAGTTATATTCTTCCAACCATGAAAAAAAAAAATGAGCAATAACGTATCACACCACTTTTCAAAATTGAACCAAGTAGGGGACCTCTCATGGCCAAAAGACTGATCTTCACTACCGTATTTTCACGACAATAAGGCGCACCGTACTAAAAGGCGCAGTCTCAGTTATGTGTGCCATTTCTGTATTTAACACACACATAAGGCGCACCGGACTATAGGGCGCG